CTAATAACATGGTTGTCAGCATTAAAAGGTAGGCTATTAATGCTTTTTGCAGTGCAAATTTTGTTTGTGATGAAAATAACAGATTTACCTACGGATCGCTGCATTTCTTACAGATTTCGGCTCATTCGAAATCGGATGCAGATGAAGTAGCACTGTATAAGATTACATTTGTTTGAATGCATTATTGAAAGAGCGATTGCGTGTGAATAAGTGTTGTACCTGTTTAAATCATGATTTCACCTGAAAATATTCAGTATCTAGAGGGAACAAACAAATTCCTTAATAACTACCCTATAACTTCCCGCTATGTCCACTGCCGTCAACATCGCCTTCACATTCTTTCTGATTTGAGTGATCCTTCTCTATCAAGCTAGCTAAATATGTTTAATGTGAATTCTTGCTAAATGTGCAGTTATATTACGGGCCGTTGGCATGAATTGTACTCATGATGGAGCGATGTATTTTGCATATAGCTTGACAAGAGCCTCGATATTAGTATTATTCATATTAGTATTTTATTAATAATTTTATTCTATTTTCTAGTTAAGCTGAGAAGTATGTATGCGATTTATTTTTAACATGTAGTATCGTTTTCATGGTCATGCATATGCATATCTAATAAGACTGGCCTTTAGATCGTAATGATAGAACACATCCTCTCATTTTCACAGTGTTGCAAGAAGTTAAGCCAAGTAAAGTGACGAATATGCAACCCCTCTAAAAATTTAAAATGCTGTTATATAATTTGTCCTCATGACTGTGCCAAAATGTGTTTACCCTCCAGTTCAGTCCTCATCCAAAAACAAACCCTTAACATTATAGTTCAATTATAGTTCAGTGTATTTTGATGTGAAAGTTTGTATTTTATTTTTATTTTAACTACTGGTCACTTTCAGTGGGACTTTAAAAGTACAGTATATAATGCACTTTTTGATAGGTTTATGTATTGTTTTGTTTCCAAGAGATTTAGGATGATCTTATGTGTATTAAAAGCCATTTGAAGAATACATTATGATACATTTGTATTGATTTGAAATATGTTTTTCAATCCAATATATTTGCTCTATCCTTAAATTAGACCTAATAATGTAAATTGCCTAAATATTTGTGTGGATTCTTTTATTATCCTTTAAGCCAGAAAACCTTGAAGCAACCCCATGTGTTTCTGCAGCTCCCAAATGTTTCTGCTACCATTAGTACATTTAGTGTTAGTTTTCTGTTATGGAGTTAGCATAGGTGTGAGTCTTAATTAATGAGCCCAGCTAGCTGCTATTGCCCTGGGCTTGGATGCACATTCATGCTTCTTAATGTGATTCAAATGTGAGGCTCATGTTGCTGTAGAGACAAGTCGGAAAACAAACAAAGCACAGCTCTTCATTTATTTCATCCCCCTGGCCTTTATGCCGAAGTCCCCTTTTTCTTTCTGATCTCAGCTCAGTTTTGTCGTTCCTCTGCAATCATTTGTGTTTTGATTGTGTCAAGGGCCCTGTTCTTTGATTAGCGAAAAATGCCAAATAACCTCTGGATACTGGAAATCCATGCACGTTGCTACAATTGATGCATGTGAAAGTGGAATATTAAGATGCCTGTTTATGTGTAGTAGGCATTTTGATGCGTTTTAATAATTGCGGTTGATTCATATGTAAAAAATATTCTCTGTATTCATTAGTCTGGTGCTGTGCATGACTGAACGGCTCTGTGTTAAAATAAAGGGCCAACAAAACCAGAGAGAAGCTTTCGTGTTGAATGAAAAGTAATGAATTTTGGAAAAGACATTGGTTTTGTTCCATTTAGCTAATGAGGATGAAGCTGTTTGCCGCTTCTTGTCTTAGATGAAATAAACTGGCCGGAGGGAGAGGATGCGCCACCAGCTGATGCTCAGGAGCTGATCACCCTACTGCTCAGACAGAACCCTCTGGAGCGCCTCGGCACTGGTAAGGGTCCAAAATGTTTCGGTAATACTATAAAAAATTGCTTTTGGCAAGTTAAATGTCTAGTTGTCCAGGAAGGTATTTTAGGATTTGCAAAGTAATGCATGGTTGTGTGGATTAAATGCAATGTAAAACATGCATACATACATTAAATATTATTCCATGGCTGGTAAAAAAATATATATATAAATAAAATAATAATAATAATAATAAATAAATATGATAGAGAAATCTATTAATAAATATGTATTTATTATAAATCATAATATATATACTCTCACACAGCCACTAAAATCAAAGAAGGGTATTTTCATCAGAAATGTCCAGTTCTCCTTTTAAACAGACATTAAAACAGACATTCGGTCTCACTCATAGTTCACTCACAGGAACTTGCACTGCATAATCTTTCTCTTTAATGTCACTTATGTGCACCCACCCATATAAAAAGGCAAAGTGCAGCACTTTCCCCCCCTTTTTAGTAGAGTCAGACAGCAAATTCACATGTAGGGCCAGATTTACTAACAGCTTGCGCCAGTGCAAACCGTCTTTTGGCATTAAAATAGTACTGTCAGGATTTACTAAAGACGCGCAGTGAAGAATTAGCGCTGAAAAGGCGTGGACACGGTTATTTTTGCGCCTGACCTTATTGAATATGCGTTTGTAGGAGTTTCCCTTTCAGACTCAAAATTTATGGGAGGAGAGAATTAAAATGAATAACGCATGTTTGTGCTCGTCAAATTACTGGTATTTACACCATAATTTAATGCTCCAAAAAAGCATGTCTTAAAGCAGATGCTAATTTGTACTGCTGTTGGTTGATTGTGTTGGTCATTATGAAAATGATCTGGCTGTGTCTGTGTTCTTTAATTTGCACATTGTCAGTAAATCACCCGCAGAAATTTCCACTCCCATTAGCGCTTTTTTGGAATTGCGCTCGCACTAATTTTCCCTGTTTAGTAAATCTGGCCCTTAGCCTCCAAGTACATTTCTTTTAATTGCATTTTTGCTTAGCACCTAAAAAGTCTAACATCGCCACTTTGCCAAGACTACATTTGCACAAAAAAAATTCTGGTGACGAGATTTCAGCAACAAGTTTTTGGCATCACTGGAAGTGAAAATACTGTGAAATGCATCACATTGCACCTGTTTAGAACACAGTAAGGTGGACAAGTGTTTCTGAAATTTGATGTGTATTTGATGTGTATTTGAATGTGTATCCTTAAGCAGGAGGGGCGTATGAGGTCAAGCACCATCAGTTCTTTCACAGTCTGGACTGGAACAGCCTGCTGAGGCAGAAGGCAGAGTTCATCCCCCAGCTGGAGTCTGAGGATGACACCAGCTACTTTGACAGTGAGTGACAGCAGGAGGGAAGTCATTGTCCTTCACGGTCGGTCCATGCAAGCAGTGCAGGGCTGAGAGCCAGTGTCCATGTATGTTTTTATGTCTTAAGGGAGCATGATCAGATGTTCGCAGACTGATAGATTAGTCATATATTAGTATAGCACAGTTGGTTGATGATATGAATCTTTGTCATTTGTTTGGAGAAATGTCAACAGTTTGCACTAGCTTAGTCTTTTTTCCCCCCTCAGTGCTTTGGACTCTTCATTGTAAAAATGTTTTACATGTTATATATACATGAAGTAATAACAATGTAGATTTAAGTAAAAAAAAATTTTTTTCTCCTTCTGTGTATTGTATGATGACCAAGCAAGATGACAGAATGTTTATTTTTGAGTGAACTGTCCTATTAACACTTCTTAGAATAATGGGGTCTTAAAATAACTGACATGAGAGCGTCTTTACAACTGGCATCACCGCACAATGTGACACATTTTCTTCTTTAATCGCAGCACGATCTGATAAATACCATCACTTGGAAACTGAGGAGGAGGAGGATACCAATGACGAAGATTTCAATGTGGACCTGCGGCAGTTTTCCTCATCTTCACACCGATTCTCCAAAGTGAGTTGTGTCTCTCTTTTTCCTCTCACACGGTTTAATTCATGTAGTGCAGAATGACTCAGATGAGAATCTGACTAGTGTATGTTTAAATAAAGATGTTAAAAACTATGGCCAGCACTGTCTCTGCCATATTGTTCAGCTTTTACATGCATTTGCTTTTGTTGGAGGGATATTGTGGGTCAGGGAACAATATCACAAACAATTACTCGTGCACATCCTTGTTCTTTGGTGCACTGCAGTATCAGTTGCTTCCAGAAACTATCATGCTTGCAGTGAAGGAATCTGGTGAAGGCTGCATTTTATAAATATCTGCTATAATTATGGGATTGCTGCTTTTTTTTTAATAAACAAACTAGGACAGAAGCAATTGCTATTGGGAGGGGAATATGATTTATTGATTCTTTGTATTCTTCAGCATTCTAATTATTTTAATTTATTAAAAAGAATATTAATATTAACATCAAATGTAATTCAGCAGCCCCCTTGGAAGTTTGCTGAGGCCCCCTAATGGGTCTCGGCCCCCTGGTTAAGAACCACTGTATTAGATGGATTTAAATTCAGGCATCTTCAATTGTGTTACGGTATTTTTGGTGGTGATTGGTGATTGCCATTTTATGAATTGGATGTTTTATACTAAATTCATACAATAATTCATAAAATTTTACCTAATTCGTACAAAAACATATTTTGTATAAAAAAGTAAGCATAAAGCTGCATCTCTTACCCCACCCAAACCTAAACAACCTAAACGTCAGTGGGGTGTGAGCAGATCATTTAAAAACATAAGAATGAGATTGTACAAATTCTTACGAATTTGCCACCAATTTGGCTTGGGACTGTAAGCAACCACCTAGCAATCATCCAGAACACCCTAGGAGCAACCTAACAGTGACCAACAGAAGCATTTCAAGTTACATTTCCTCGCTTCAGGATTCATTGTCTCATTCTCATGGTTGAATGCAGTGGCATATGCCTGTGTTTTCTTCAAGATCTAATGGAGTTTATTGATGCATATATATATGATGTTTGTTTGTGTGTGTTGTGTGTGTAGGTTTACAGTAGTCTGGATCTGTCTCGAGGACAGCTGGAAGAGAAAGGAGAACAGCCAGAGAAGACAACAGACAGTCCTCTCACTGTTGACTCTCTGAGCTGGACTCCAGACTTTACTGAGATGTATGTTACTCACACACCCGTTCCATAAAAATAGCTTAGATCCAAAATGAAGGTGAAAAAAATAAAAAATGAAGACCTCATCATAAAATAAATGCATCTCTATACTCACATGCTTCTTGCCACACTGTTTGTTTTGAAAATATTTATTTTTGTTAATGAATTATATCATAAACACAAAATCAGATTTAAATCAAGTGTAGCGTTAGTTCTGGCAGGTCACGTTAGTCAAGCTCTCATCAGCTGACTCTCAGCTGATCCCCATCTACCTATAGGAATACGACACCTGTCTAAGCATTCATATATAAGGTCCCTCAGTGTTATCAGCAGTTTTCGCATTGCTCAATAGCTAATTACCCTCCTCCATCCCCAACTCCTTCTCTGTCAGTCGGGATTCAGCCTTCTGATTCTCCTTTGAATCAGACTAATTCTAAAATGTATACATAAAATTATTGAACTTTAACAATATCTGCAATACATTTATGTTGGTTCTGTTCTGTTTACCCTGGGGGGTTATTGCTGCTCTCCCTGCTCTCATCCATGCTAGGCTGCATGGATGCGCAGGGAGTTCTTGCCCAGAACAGAACCATACCGCCAATCCAAAAACTGTATGCTAATTGTCAATCATCTTTGACGATAGTGGTCCTGACAGAACTAGAAAATTCAACTTCTGATAGTAGATTTTGCATTGTCTAGGTTGGTCATTTATGGTCATTAGCTGGACCAAGTTGGTCCTGATGGTTGATCAGATTGGACTGCCAGCTAGCGGGGTCACGTTCAATCTTATAGTCCACCCTCAATAAAGCTGGTTAGAGCTGGTACACTTATTTGGACCACCAACAAACCAGCTTCCATGTTCCTAAAACCACCTTAAATTTGTAGAACCTGACTTTTTCAGGTGGATCATTTCATTTTTCCTTGTTTCTCTTCTCCAGCCCCTCTCTCTCTCATTCATCTGACACTGAGAGCACCAGCTTGAGCAGATGTTCCAGTCTTCTTCCTAAGTTTGCCATCTCTGCAGAAGTGGAGGACGGTGAGGGCTCCCTGGCTCTGGAAGACCCCAGTAAAGTGACCTTTAGTATTGGGGAGTTGCCTCAAGATGATCCTGATCCCACCACTCCTTGTAGCACCATCAGTAACTCCACCCTCTCAGGTAAAGGGGTGATTTAAAGGAGTTGGGAATGTACATTGATCAAACTTCCTTCACAATCAATCCATCAATCAATGTTTACTTATGTTTGAGGTCTCAGGAGACTCCATGTATCAAACATTATTAAATGCGATTAATTTTCACATGCCATTGGTGTACATGCTGTACTATAGGCAGTGGAGTCCTGCAGTGTATTTAGTAAGTAAGTAAGTACATTTTATTTATATAGCACATTTCAACATAGCAAAGCTATCCAAAGTGCTTAAGAATGTAAAATCAAATTAAAAGAGAAAAGGAAACACAGAAAAGAAAAAAAAAAAAGACAGACAATAATAAAATGCTAAGGAGAAATGATACATTTTCAACCTCGATTTAAAAATGGTAATGGAAGGTGCAAGGCGGCAGTCTAGAGGCAACTGGTTCCACAGACGGGGGACAGTGACTGAAAAGGCTCTGGCACCCTTAGTTTTCAAATGGGAACGAGGGACAGATAAAAGAGCCCTGTCAGTGGATCTTAAAAGTCTGGTAGATGACAAAGGGATAATAAGATCTTTAAGATAAGATGGAGCTTGATTGTTTAGAGCTTTAAAAACAAACAACAGAATCTTAAACTGAACTCTAAAATGGACCGGAAGCCAGTGAAGCGAAGCTAAAATTGGAGTGACATGGTCATATTTCTTTGCCCCAGTCAGCAGCCTTGCAGCTGCATTTTGTACCAACTGGAGGCGTGAAAGCGATGACTGAGGAAGACCTGAGTACAGTGAATTACAGTAATCTAAACGTGAGGTAATAAAAGCATGAATAACCTTCTCCAAATCTTGAAAAGACAAAAATGATTTAAGTTTGGAGATGACCCGTAATTGATAAAAACTGTTCCTAACAACAGAATTAATTTGTTTGGACAAACATAATTCTGAGTCTATGATAACGCCCAGGTTTCTAACCTGTGAGGAAATGGAGGGGAAATGATTGCCCAGCTCCTCAATAATATCCATTCTCATTTTTCGGGGACCAAAAACAATAATTTCTGTTTTGTTCTCTTTGAGTTGGAGAAAGTTATTTGTTAACCATTTTTTAATATCTGAGATACATTCCAGCAATGGCTGAATGGAATCACCAGCTTTTAGTGGGAGGTACAACTGCATATCATCAGCATATAAATGAAACGAAACATTGTGCTTCCTGATAATATCCCCCAGAGGGCGCATATATAAGTTAAAAAGAAGCGGTCCCAAAATAGAGCCCTGAGATACTCCACTAGTAATTGGGGCAGATGATGAGGAAAACTTGCCTAGCTCCACAGAAAAAGACCTGTCTTTGAGATAGGAGCTGAACCATCGTAAGGCTGTGCCCGATACCGATCAGATGTTCTAAACAGCAAATAAGAACATTATGATTCACTGTATCAAAGGCAGCTGTAAGATCCAGTAGAATCAATACCACATTTTTACCGGCATCAACTGCAACCAAAATATCATTGAACACTTTAAGCAAAGCAGACTCCGTACTGTGATAAGCAGTGAAACCAGATTGAAAAGGTTCTAATAAATTAGCTGTATTTAAGAATGTGATCAGCTGTAATTGCACAACTTTTTCCAAAAGCTTTGACAAAAATGATAACTTTGAGACAGGCCGAAAATTGTTAAAGCAACTTTCATCCAAACCTTGCTTCTTAAGCAAAAGCTGAACAACCGCATGCTTAAAGCAGTTCGGAACCAAAGTGTCCAAAGATGAGTTAATCAACACTTGGACACTGGGGCCAATTACTGGAAAAGCTGCTTTTATGATCTCAGAAGGAACAACATCCAGTGAGGAGTTAGTAGACTTCATTTTGTTAACGAGATTGGAAAGTTCCATTAAAGAGACATGTTGAAAATGACAAAATTAAAATGGACTAGCAGGCAAGTTCAAAGACAGGTCTGAGAGCTGTGAAGTAAAAGATAAGCGAATAGCACTCACTTTGTCAACAAAAAATGTCAAAAATTTTTCACAGAGCCCTGCTGATGGCTCCCTAGAAAACTGGGAATTCGGATTAATTACTGAATTTATTGTGGAGAATAAAACCCTAGGTCCATGTCACTGTTTGATAACAATCAAATCACATTTTTTTCAGTTAAAGGGTTAGTTCACCCCAAAATGAAAATTCTGTCGTTAATTACTCACCCTCATGTAGTTCCAAACCCGTAAGACCTTCATTCATCTTCGGAACACAAATGAAGATATTTTTGATAAAATGTGAGAGCTCTCAGACCCTGCATAGACAGCAACGCAACTGTAATGTTCCCAGGTCCAGAAACGTAGCAAGGACATCGGTAAAACAGTTCATGTGACATCAGTGGCTCAACTTCAGTTTTGCGAAGCTACGAGAATACTTTTTGAGTGCAAAGAAAACAAAAATAACAATTTATTCAACAATTCTTCTCACCCGAGTTATGTCTTCCGCCATTTTAGAGTATCACAACACATACTCAAGCTTTCCCCTAAGCAAAAACAACGCAGATTACGTTCTTGCGCGCGCTTTCTCCCGAATGTAAACAACGCTGATTATGTCAATTACGCTCTTGGGTACTCTCCAAAATGGCGGAAGACGTAACTCGGGGGAGAAGAATTGTTAAATTGTTATTTGTGTTTTCTTTGCGCTCAAAGTATTCTTAATGACAGAATTTTCATTTTGGGGTGAACTAACCCTTTAACTGAAAAAAATGTGATTTGATTGTTATCAAACAGATAGCAATAATATCTAATGGGATTTGATTAGGTCAGAGGAACATAAAAAATTGATTAAAAGGGAAATAATAAAAAAATAATAAGTAATACAAATTATTTAAAGGGAAATAAGTGCATTGCAGTCTCACTCTTCTTTTTTTGAGTAGGCAGTTTCTCTGAGCACCTGGATCAGGCACCTTCACGGGGAGATGGAGTGGACAGTCTAGACAGCTCCTGTAAGCCCTCCTCTGATACAGCCTCCTTCCTGACTGCTCCCAAACCTGAGGCCACAGAAAAACAGTGTGCAGTCAGCAAAGTCCCAAAATCAGTGTCCACCAGCGCCCTGTCACTAATGATTCCTGGAGGTGAGTGTACAGTAGGTGTTTATGAAAGAAAATGTTGGGATATCTTTACATGCGTGACCAAGTGTTTGTTATTGTCCATGTCAGGGTTTTTTTTTTTTTTTTTTTTTTAAAGGTGGTTACCTGCTGTTGCACAGCGCCAGTCAGCTGATTTATTAATATAGGATTCGACCTCTCTCCTTTGTTCCCCCCCAGATATTTTTGGTGTGTCACCATTAGCAAGCCCCATTTCTCCATACTCGCTGTCATCAGACCCATCCTCTAGAGACTCCTCCCCCAGCAGAGACTCCTCCCTCAGTGGTGTAATCTGTCGTCAGCCAATCATCATCCATAGCTCGGGGAAGAAGTTTGGCTTCACTCTGCGAGCGATCCGGGTCTACGCATGTGACAGTGATGTTTATACAGTTTATCACATGGTCTGGGTAAGTGTGGAAGGCCTTTCCTGCACGCCACTATAGAACCCAAACAGTTGATAAAATGTATTCTCACTTCTCACTTAGAAAGAACGAGCCACATATTTTTCATATCTCTGTTTACTGCATCACAGATAGTTAAGATATTGATGAAAGCTTTCAAACTATGTATGATTTACTATGTGTATATTGTATTGTTTGGGAATAGAATGTAGAGGATGGTGGCCCTGCTCACAAGGCTGGTCTTAAGGCTGGAGACCTGATCACTCATGTGAATGGAGAAACCATTCATGGGCTGCTTCACACTGAGGTGGTGGAACTATTGCTAAAGGTGCAAAAACCAACCAATGTTACAACCACAGCACTATTTTCACTGCTTGTTTTCCATTTAATTTTGTGTTACAATACGTCTGTAAGTGACACTTACATATTTTTTATTTGCAGAGTGGAAGTAAAGTCACGATATCCACAACCCCTTTTGAAAACACTTCTATCAAAACTGGTCCAGCTAGAAGAAATAGTTACAGAAGCAAAATGGTGAGAAGAACCAAGAAGCCAAAGAAAGAGAAAACTCAAGAAAGGTAAGAAAACTAGAATATCATTATTCTTGTTTATTTCAGGTTTTACAAATGTTTATTTACATAACCACATACATTTTGATAAACTGCCTCAGTAGCAAGATCCCCCCAGTGCCACTAGATGTAGCTGTTGCTGCATTGTTTTGTTTTTTTTAATGTACACTGTGTTCAGAAAGGTAAATTAGTGTACTTTCTGCTGCATGCTGTGTAGTATATACTGTATACTGCCTACTATTTTAAAGTATTTTTTGAAACCGTAGGCAGTATGTATGTATAATCATTTAAAATTTTTATCAGATGTTTATCTTAAAAAATATATTGTCATATGACCTTATTATTGACAAGCTTAATTCAGCAAGTAGAGATATTTTAATTTTTTACACTTTAATCCTTCATTGTTAGTTTTGTAAAAATATCTTACACTTCGGGCATCGGATGAAATAATAAATCAAGAAGAAATAAAACTGAGAATCACTTTTGAAATTGCTGAGTGCATTGCGTTATGAGATAGTATTCCATGAATTGTGCTTTATATATTTAATATATATTTTAAACTTTTTGCAAATGTATGCATATTGTACACTGCAAAAGTAATATGAGTAGTATGGTATGTCTTTTTGAATGTTCCAATGTTTTTTCAGTTCAAGCTTTTTTTCCTCTCCAGGCGGCGTTCAGTGTTCAAACGTTTTGCCATGCAACCCTCTCCACTTTTACACACCAGCCGTAGTTTCTCCTCGCTAAACCGCTCACTGTCTTCAGGAGAGAGTCTACCTGGATCTCCCACACATAGCCTCTCGCCACGCTCCCCCACAGCTGCCTTTCGCCCAACACCTGACTTCAACCAGTCAGGTGTGTGTTACATTACCCAGACATCGGTCCTGATAAAAAAAGTATATATATATTAATAATGTTGCCTGTCATGTGTCTTAGGGTGTAAATATATGCTGTTTTAGTGCTCTGTACAAAAAGTAATTTATCTGTAAATATCTGTATGAAAGTAATTAGAAAAAAAATGGCACTTATCTTAACATTTTAACTTTCCACTCTTTCTTCCAGGTGGCAATTCATCACAGAGTAGCTCCCCCAGTTCCAGCGCACCTAACTCACCAGCAGGCTCTGGCCACATCCGACCCAGCACTCTGCATGGCCTGGGTCCCAAACTACCTGGACGGTTACGTCAGGGTCGACGTAAATCAGCAGGGAGTATTCCCCTCTCACCTTTGGCTCGCACACCCTCCCCGACCCCTCAGCCTCAGCCGACTTCTCCTCAGCGGCCCCCATCTCCCTTGCTGACTCACACTGTGGGAAACGCCAAAACTTCTCAGGCCTTCCCTGCCAAAATGCACTCACCCCCCACTATTGTACGCCATATGGTGCGAACTAAAAGCGCAGAGCCTCCTCGGTCCCCGCTCTTGAAGCGAGTTCAATCCGAGGAGAAGCTTTCCCCCTCTTACGCTGGTGACAAAAAACATTTATGCACCCGAAAGCACAGTTTGGAGGTCACCCAAGAAGAGTCTCAAGGGGAGGCCTCATCTATAGGGGAGCATATCCCACCATGCATAGAGGAGAGCACTTCCTGTGAGCCACCCACTATTACTCGGGTGAGGCCTGCTGAGCAGGGCTGCCTGAAGCGGCCTGTCTCTCGCAAAGTTGGTCGACAGGAGTCAGTAGAGGAGATAGATAGGGAGAAGCTGAAGGCTAAAGTGGTGGTGAAGAGGCAGGACTGGGCTGAGAGACGAGAGTCTATGCAAAAACAAGACACCGTGCAAGATGTGGAAGGTGCTGCTGCTGAAGGTAAGGAGTGGAGTGTCCTTACACGTCCCAGTGTGAGACCCCAGAGTTCTGAATCTGGATCCCTGGACAAGTCTACAAATGCTACTTTGAAGGATGTCCTCTACAAAAAACTAAACTCAAGAGTCTGTGAGAGCATAGCTGAGTCTGTCACCAGTGGGGAATGTGTATCACTTTTAAGTGAGAATGTGAGGTCGCCGCCTTGTCAATCAGAGCGACAAATGTCTCGGTCAATGAAGGAAAGTAAACCAGAGAGAATAGATTTCAAAGCCTCCAACATTGAGTTTGCCAGAAAGAGACAGTCCTTTGAGGATAGGGAGGAATCCTTGTGTCGAATATCCTCTGGTGTTCATGAAAGCATTCATTTCAACACCACAAGGTCCAAAAGTCTTCAGCTGGATTCTGCGTTAGCTTTAGAACATGTTAAAGGGGGCATGTGCAACATCCATGGCACTTCTGAAACTTTGGCCCCTAAGCTTTTTAGTGGGAGAGGAGAGAGCGCAGTAGAAAAACTTCAGATGATTGCTTCTGATGGTCCTATCAGGAAGACCTCCTCCGAGTACAAATTGGAGGGAAGGCTTGTGTCCTCTTTAAAGCCACTAGAGGGCACCTTGGACATTGGTCTGCTTTCTGGGCCTCGGGTATCCAAGACTGACACGTGTCTTTCCAAAATGGCAGACAGCCATGGTCAAAGTACTATGTTGGCAGAAGATCTATGTGGAAAACAGAAAACCACAGAGAAAAAGAAAAGTCAACATGCAGGGACGTCTGGCACACTTAACCATAAGGACAATGTGTATTTGAGCAGTAAAACCATTACAAAAGAAGAGTCCATTTCCAATAAGGACTCTACAATAAGTCCTGCTTGCAATGAGGCCTTGCATGATAGAAATAAATTTCATGATGGAATGAAGTTTCAGTTTACAGCCACCAAAGTGGAGTCCATAGACACAAGTGTGAAATCGGAGACTAGGCTAAAGACAACTCAGGAGATGAGAGCTGCACGACACAGTGCTCACTTTGCATGTGGGAAAACGCCTTCCATCAGGGAAGTCAGCAATGAAGACCAGGAAGACGACATGGAAAATATAGAGGATACATCTCCAAAGCAAAATGAAACTCAGCAGACACAACCGGTCCTTAGTAAAACAAATCAACCTGACGAATTCCGAGTGTCTTCTGCTGTTATTGCTGAACTCAACTCTGTCCAGCAAAACCCAGAAGCAAATTCTGGCAAAAATAATAGTAGGCTGAGTGAGACACCAACTACTTCACGCAGTTCAGCAATGTCTACTAAGAAGGATAGCATAAATGAAGACAAACCAGGCGATACAAAGACCACTGCAGTGATAAAGCAGATCTGTTCATCAGAAGATGTTATGGACAATGCAGGTGCAACATCAAGCCCAACTGTGGCTGCAACCAAGACTCTGATAGATAGAAAGGATAGGGCTGGTAGCACCAAAGACTTTCTTGACATCAATCCAGAGCATCTTCAAGATTTGAAGGAAAGCAAAACATCTAGCAGAGTAAAAAGTTTAGACAAACATGTACAGTCTGCACTGGGAGACAGAGCTGATGCTAAGCCAACCTCAGCTGACTCAGGGCAGGCTAAACCAGAGATATCTGTCAAAGAAACAGCACCCATCCCACAGAGTCTATCTTTAGCTTCCTCCGTCACAACATCCATTGTGTCTCCTGTCTCAGCACCAGCAGATGCACCTGAGATCCCTATTATTAAAAGCTCATTGTCTCCCAGATCTAACCTTCAAAGAAAAACCACGTCATCTGCCATTGCTGCCCCGTTGAAGGACATGCCTGCTACTGATTCAAAATCCCATGCCTGTGCAAGCACCACCCCACAACTTTCTGGGTTGGCTGAAGTAAAAACAACCAGCATCCAACCTCCACAGTCTGATCAGATTTGTTCCAAAATTTCAAGCTCTGTTGACTTGGAAAATGGACAGACAGCAAGTATTTCAGTTCAACTCTCCAAACAAATCTCAGACCGAACACAAAATTCCTGTGCATCAAGTGGTAGCAGAGAATTCAGTGTGCAAACCCATCAGTCTCAACAGGGCTTAAACAAAAATCAACATGCAGACAAAGTAAATCCTCCGGAAGCAAGTAGCCAATCCAGTTTAATGGCGAAGGATACTAAAAACCTGCCAGCATGTGGAGTTAAAATGGACTCGAGAGATAAAATGGCCTCTAAAAAGGACTTCAGGTGCAGTGAGAGTGAAAAGATTACCTGTGCCTCTAACCCTAACCCTTCAGTCAAAGCTGAAGTTTCAAATAACTGTGAAAAGCGGGAAGCCATCTTCAGAAGCCAAGTAAGCACATCAAAGGACACGGGTGCAAGCCCACCAAAGACTAGAAGTTGTGACACTTCAACAAAAGACACTGTGCATGTGCAGTCTGCAATTAAAACAGAAGAAAAGCAGAAATTCAAGAGTGTTCTTGATGTAGACACTGAGAAGGCCAATAAGCAAGTTATGGACATGCCCATTACAGAGACAAGTGCAGCACAGACTGCAATAAAACAGACGCAAAAGTCTTATAGTGCGGTATTAAAACAAACCCCTTTGAGTTTGAAAAACAAGCCACGAGTAGACTCGCCGCTTGTTATGCAGTCTATTGGGAAGGCAGTTGAAGATAAGAGAAAGCAGGAAAACATAGCACAGCTACAGCCCATTGTCAAAGACAACATAGTAAAACCAAAGGAGCTAAGAGAGTCAGTCCTGTCTACGCCCAAATCTCAGCTTCACAAAGAGACCCACACTGGTTCTCGAGGTGGCTCCGTGCCGGTGTTGCCTGTACCAGCTGTTAAAATCCATGTGTCTAGTGGGCTTCCTCCTGGTAAGGGCAGCGCTGCTGTAGTTGAAATACTCGGACCTTCCTCAGAGGAACAAGTGAAGTCCAGAATTGACGTTCCAAGATCAGAGTCTTTCAAGGGCTCCAGCACCAAAGGGACAACTACTAGTACTGATTCCAGTCCTGACCCTAAACATGCCTCAAGTGAGTCAAAGGTGACTGACAAACAGATTTCATCCAACCGAAAAGAGCAAGTGGAAAAGAAGAGAAAGGATACTCAAGATACATCATCAGCACCCAAAACTAACCGCAAAGACTCATCAAGAGGCATGCCTTTGGCAAAGGATAGTACTACTATTGAAAAAGATTCAGTCCGTTCTAAACAAACAAAGGATACGCCACGTGGTTCAACTTGTAAAAAGTGATGTATTGTATTGTAGTTGCCAAGCGTATTGAATTTTAAAAAGACTATGAGGATGTAAACATAATTTTTTGTCTATATGTAATATCATGAAGCCTTCCTATCTGAGGACCGGTGAAGCTGTTACTTTGGGTTTTCATAAGAAACCAGAGATGAATTTGTTTGTTTGTGTTGTGATCTATAATGCTTTGTTAATATTATGTCTAAAAAAGTGTAGGCTGAATGTTGACTTGTTTTGCTGCTGATTTGTGGTCTTGTTTTAGATCTCGCAAAAGCGCCAAAATTAGTCATTGTATTGTGTTGCGGTGTGATGTAACGAGTGGCGTGTGCAATAACTGGGGAGACGGAGTGTAGATGCCTTTTTAAAGGATTTAATGAACTGTGCCAATCCTGGTGGAGTGTAATTGTACCAAACAAAAAGCACCTTAAATTCAGAGCTGAAGATGCATGTTAACTGACTGTGTAAAAAAAAAAAAAAAAAAAAAAAGCTTCATGCTTATTCAGGCTAGTGTTATTATGTATTATACTGGTTTCTGATGTATTTAAAAACCACTAGGAAAAATATATGTAGCAATGGTGCTATTAATGTGCAGATCACTTATTTTATTTTTATTTTTTTCACTGCTTTTTTTTTTTTATTTTGGACCTTATCAGCAAAGTTTTGTTTTGGGTAGTGGTGCACAGAGGGAAAGCACTTTGTCCTGTGCTTCTCACCTGGAACTATTTTATATTGGAATCATCTTATGGTTCTGGAATCATAGTGGAAGGGGCCTTCGAGTTTTTTTGGGGAAATATGACTTGCTGTTCTTAGCAGGTCATGGTGAAATTCACATTCCTTTCACATATATTATTTTTTATGCAATATATTGTAAATACAGCAGCATTAATTGTACAGAGGGGTCGGTTGAAAATGAGTGTTGTATGTTTTATATGTATATATTTTGTTATGTCATATGTTTGTATATTGTACTTAATGTTGGTCTCCTATTGATGTTATCTGCTCAGTAATTGTGCTCATATAGAGTCTAGAGTCTATCTAGCAGAATAATGATAGTCTCACTCTGAAATGAAGTGTACTTGAAGTTTCACTAAGGTATGTAGGGGTTAACCACATGCATTTTCAGATATGTATTTTAAGTGACGCAGCAGAGTTGCTCTCCGAATGTTCATCATACTTGATGCCGCTAACAAGGAAATCATGCATTTACATAAAAACAGGGACAAGACAGATGTAGCACATTATATAAAAGGCAAGTTTCAGAGACTGAACCCCGTGATTAGTTTGCTACTATGTAGATTATATACAATCTGTTTAAAAAAAAAAAAAAAAAAAATCTCAAGCTTTTAGGGCTAACATTTGGCATACAGGAACATGATGTATTTCCCCTAGTTTGGTTAAAAGGGCTTATACACTGATAATCAAATGTGCTTTAGCAACACTTGTGGTATGTCAGGACTTGTGATAAATGTCAGGAGTTTCACTGCATGTTTGTTCTTCATGTCCAATCAGTTTCTTACATATTCATATGCAAAGTACAACACTTGCAAATGGGAATTGTGTAATACTTTATTAAATGCATTTGTGCTATTAACATTTCTAGTCACGTAATAGAACTGCTAAGCGCATTTCCTGCACTTTTTACCTTTGAAACCTTTCAAAGCTCTCTTCCCTTTTTTAAAGGTTGTGTCCAAACATTAAAAAGCATATTTGCCATTAGTTGTGCTTTATTTGACCTTTAGGTAGTTGCATTGTGACCACTGAAGTTTAGCATCAGAACGGAGAAGAGGATGAATCATTGTGTCTTTTGGTATTTGGTCTTAACTTTAAACTTGCTATAGCTCTGCTGGTATGTATACATCACATACCAACTTAAAGTGAATTGTGTATCTAGGCCAATTTCAGTATACTTTATATTGTGAAACATCTAGGGTATATTACAGTATGATATTGAAGTATTTGCGATTAATGTTTTAATGTAAACAGCATATATCTGAGCTAAACACAAATGTGCATAAGTAACTAAACAACAGAATGCACCATTTAAA